TCATGAGAAAGAGATGGCACTAACAACAGTTATGGGTGAGAAGATCTGCCATTATAGACGGGGAGGTGGTCGAGGAAGATTCTGCATTTACTCTGCTAAAATGTAAAATCCCTGTGCTCCAGCTCAGACTAATCTTATATTCTCAGCTCGAGCTTTATGTTCTAACCAAGTTCAAATCCCAGATTCAAAATCAAGCTTGTTTAAGAAAATGAGTTGAACTTCATTTATTAAATAATTCAAGCTCGACAAGTCACTAAGCCCAATCATTAACATAATGTTCACAAGCAAGAATGTGACGATGCATGGTAAAATAGTTATGTTAGAAGCCCAGGTTACCAGATTCCGACCAAACCAATAACATTGAGTATAAATGACAGTGATGGCTATATAAATATATTAGGCACCACAGAAAATAGAGATAGCAAAGAACACAGAATTTACCTGGAAAACCCTCTGACGTGGAGGGAAAAATCACAGGACAAAAACTGCACCAAAATCCACCATTAAAATGAATAGTACAATGATTGTCTTAAGTTCATTTTTTTCCAAAACATAAAACCTAAAATACTTTGCAACAACAACAACAACAACAACAATAAAAACACCTCTCATTTAAGAGCACAGAGTACAATGATTCCCCATGATCCAAGTACCTTTAAGTGTTAAAGTTGTGACAGCAAGTTTGCACATAATTTACAGCTATTTTGAAGAAATGAAGATGGCGAGAACTAGACTTAATGAAACTGATTTAGTTCAGTTTATTCCAAGTTTTTGGTTGCATTTTAATTCTAGTTTGTCTTTATACTTTGTTGCTCTTGGTCAATGCTTTTAGACAAGGTAGCAAAAGTTTAGGAAAAACTGTTTTGTTCACATGGTTGCTACTTTTTGTTTTGGTCTGTTATAACTTATACCAGACATGTACATATTTCAATCTTCAATGAAATAATTCAGTTGTTCTACTCCCCATTTTCTTTGTTTTTCTTTAGAGCAAAATCATTTTACCTTAAGAAAACCCTAAAGGGAGCCATCTTAACATGCCTCTTGCTGCAGTAACCCTCGTATGTCTTTCTCCTTCCCTTGATGCATAAGGTGAGTTAAGATTACTGCATAACCTATTGAAATATTTTTGTCAAAATGTAGTCAAATGATTGTCAACTTCTGTATTAAGTTGATGACAAAAATTTATCAGGAATGCAAATTATCTTTGAGGCTGACCAACTTACCATTTAAGCACATGTCATCCAAGACAATGTTACAACTATCCACCATGGGCTTGCTCCTAACATCTTCATTGCATGGCAGACTTCTACTACATCAGCAGGCTAATGACCTCAATTGCACCAGTAGCCATATAAATGTCTCAATATCAAACACTGAAATAAATTCTTTTTTAAAGGTTTTGTATCAGAAATCATTGAACTATGCAGCTGATGCTAAGGAATATTGAAAGAGCATATGCATTTTAAATGAACTATAACTTGTAAATTTTGGCCTGACTACTTACCTGCAACAATTTTCCTTTAATGAACACATGAAAGATGTAAGACATCTTCCCTATTGATTAAAATTGAGCACCTCCAAGAAGATCCTGTATTGTCAAAAAAATTTCAAAAGAAGCAAGTTTTACTATAAGACCTCACTCAAATTCAAATGGTAATTAAGACTCCTAAAAAATATGAAACCATACCAAAATGATTTTCCCTTGGTGAAGCTACATTTCTACCATTCCCCGGCCATTGCCTAACTTATTGGATGAGGATCTGTTAGGTATTTTAAGACCTAAACAGATATAAAGCCAACAGACATAATAGCTGACTCATCTTTTACAACCTTCTGCTTCATAACCAAAATGAATTCCCGTGTTGTTAATTTCATGCAACTCTCTGCTTCACAACAACAGGTTTTGCTATGAGAAAGGATAGTATTTCAAACAATACAAAGGTAATTGGAAAGAACGCAACTATAATTCACAAAATTAATTACATGAAGCTAAAAGTTAAGAAATTCTAGTCGTTGGAGTTCATTTCTGAATTCTATAAATCCTCCTTCCAATCAACCGATCATTTATTCTTCAGCTACATAAAGTAAAAGAAGTGGAATAAGATTTAAAAAAAATGTAAAAAAATAAAGGAAACTTGTAATTAAATTAATATGTAAAAACATCAAGTTAAATAATATTCATGTGATAACATGATGTTCATATTGATTGATATTACCAAATGTGGAGTTATGAGAGAAAATAGGAGTTGGTATTTCAGAGATGAGACATACCATTTGCCTCTTGGAAACCTAAATCTTGTGATTATATCTGCTTTCCATTCATGTAGATCGTTGGAATGTGAGAAATCTTGTGCCATTCGGGGCCTCGTCCCTTGTCACATCTTATCCCTAACTCTGGGCAATCAGAAATGTGAAGGAGTGTCAATTTGGAGAGGCATCGAATCGCTTCTGCAGAAGGGAGATGTTTCAGATTCTTGCAATGCAAGATCCCCAAACTTTGAAGAGATGACAAGCTTCCCAACCACTCTGGCAAGGCTTTTACTCCATCGAAAAAATATATAGACAAGTGCCTTAGAGCAGTGAGGTATCGAATTTGATGTGGCAACTGAGTTAGCTTTTCCCAACCGCACAAACACAATTCTTCAAGGGAAGTGCCGAGGTTGTGAATGGAACTCAGACTTATTGGGAATTCCTCCAACTCTTCTGGGAAAGGACCGATCCATAATGCCTTCAAGCGAGTAAGGCCGCCAAGGATCTCTTCTAAGTTAGCAGAGACCAGATTAGGACATCTGTATATGGTAAGCCGCTCGAGAGTAGTGAAGAATGACAACCCACTTGGTAGATACTTCAATCGAAGGCATCCCCAAATAGTTAGTGATTTAAGAGAGGATAAGCTTCCTAACCACTTCGGTAATGTCTCCACTTCCTCGAAATGTTCTATTGACAACCTTTGTAGAGAAGTAAGATTTAGGTTTTGAATTTCAGGTGGAAACTCAGTTAGTTTTCCCCATCCAATCAAATCCAACTCTTCAAGGGATCCTTGGAGGCTGTGAAAGGAACCGAGAGCAGAGAATTCCTCCAACTCTTCCGAGAAGCCACCAAACCTCAATCTCTTCAAGTTGGTAAGGGAATTGAGGGTATTTTCTGGGATACTCCTCAATTTTGAACACCGATCAATCCACAAATCAACCAAAGAATGTATTTCCTTCAATTCTTCTGGAATAGAGATCAGGCTATCGCAACTGCATATCGTCAACTTCTTAAGAGCAATGCAGGATGATAGCCCGTTGGGTAGATGCTCCAATCCACAATGGCTAAATGTTACATCTTCCAGAGAACTAAGCCCATATAGACTTGGAATATACCTTAGATTTTTACAGCCACACAAGGTTAAAACTTTTAGACACGTGGAGGTTGATAGGCTATTCAACTCTCTGCAATCTGGAATTAAGAGTGAGTGAGGCAATGATGAGCCATTTGCTGAAACCCTTTCCAACTTGCAACAATTGAATATGTGTAATTCTTTGAGGGACGCCAATTTAACAAATGCTCCCTCGGCTATAGTACTCAATTCAGCACAGTTTGAAATAGAAAGCATCTGAAGAGACGAAAATCCTGTCATTACTGGAATACTCTCTAGCTTCTTGCACTGTTCAAGTCTCAACTCTGCCAAATTCTTGAGCAAAAATAGATCACAGTTTGAGACATTCTTCAACATCCATGATGGTAAGTTTTTGCCTCCATAACCATCAATTTCTAATACTTGCAGATCTGAGTGTGGTTGGAGACCTTCCAAAACATCTTCATCTTGATTGCTTTCTTTTCCCCATCTTAATCTCAACTTAGAAATTGTCTTCTCATGTAACTTTGCTCCCATAGCTTCTGATTTGTCCTTAACATGCTCAAGATTACAGATCTTCAAACTTCCTCTGAGCCCTCTCAAGCTACCCAATTCTTCAATTTTGCATCCCATTGTTGTGCCCACAAAGAACATTGGCAATGTTTGAAGACAAGTTAGTTTCCCAATGTTTGTAGGCATCTGTTCTTCATCACTAAAGTATATATGCCTCAAGTTGATTAAACTTCCAATTCCTTCAGGAGGCATTTCTAGAGATCTGCAAGTTATGAATCTAAATGTTTGCAATTTGCATAACTTGGGGATGAACTCTGGCAGTTTTGTTATCTGAGTTCTTGAAATGTCTAAATACCTCAGATTCTTCATGTTGCCAACACATGGTGGCAATTCTTTTGTATCAACGGAATCAACAAAACTCAAAACTCGTAGACTTCTCAGATCCACCTTCATCTCATTAGAAAAATCACCCTTTAAAAACAAAGTACGCAGTTTTGGAGCAACATCTCTTAAATTTGTTGGCACTGTTCCTATACCATAAATGAGATTCAAATTTCGAACATTAGGAATATTGCTTTGAGACTTCCAAATCATTGTCTCAGATTTTGAAATTAATTGTGCAAAATCATGAATTAAATCATGCATTTTGCAACTAATAAGGGTTCCAAATGAATCTCTTTGTTGCTCTTCAAAGAGGGAATATGATAACAAGTCATTTACATACTTATTACCGATATCCTCCATTGTCATAAGACTTTCTTCAGTAGATTGAAGAAATCCTAGAGCCATCCAAAGCTGAATCAACAACTCCCTTTCCATAACAAAATCTTTTGGAAAAATAGAACAGAATGCAAAACATTGCTTTAAAGCTAGCTCTGGCAATTGATCAAAACTCAATTTTATGACACCTCTGATTTCTATATCATGTTCAAGTGGACCCAATGCCTCAATCTTCCCCTTAATTAACAACCACGTGACTCTGTCCAACCTTTCTGTACACAAAATACCTCCTATAACCCTTGCAACTAATGGCACACCTCCACATAATTGAGCAATGTCCCTTCCGATTTTCTCCAATTCTAGAGTTATAGAAGCATCTCCAGGTACTCTCTTCCTGATAATAGACCAACAGTCAGCAGTTTGTAGTTTCCCAAGATGATGCATGTGTTTAGGAAGTGTTCTCATTTTCAATGCAACTTTTTCATTCCGAGTTGTCACAATAACTCTATTCCTTGACATTTTACATACTCCTAGCAAACAGCTTCTCAAGTCTTCAAATTTCCCATGACTCTCTTCATCCCACATATCATCCAATACCAGAAGAAAGTTGTTCTCCCCCATGGCTTCTCTTATTTTTTGAATCACAGTATCTTTGTTTTTTACTGCACAAGAATTCCCAGTAAGAGACTCCAACATTTCTGTTAAAATCTTCTCTACTTCAAAATTATCCGATACACAAACCCATATCCTTTCACCAAAATAGTTTCTGATTTGCTCATCATTGTACAAAGCTTGTGCTAAAGTGGTTTTACCGAGCCCCGGCATACCTACTATTGATAAGACAGAAAGCTGTGATTCATCAAGTGAGTCAGTTAGGAGGTGCACTATCTTGGAGATATCATCCTCTCTCCCCACAACCTCTGATAAATCACCAATAGTGGAATGGGTCTGTGTGTTTCTTCTATGCTCAGAAACCACTGTGCCAGCAAGTCTATTTTGGAGTCCAAACTGTGTCGCTTCATTGTTAATAGCTTCCACCGATGCAATAATTTTCTTAATCTTCCTAGCAATCTCATCGCTACGAGATCGCAAAGGATTGGAGGTCAAGAAATTAAGCAGCTTTCTCCGCTTTTGGTTTTGATTCTCCACCTTGCACTTCTCACTTTCGTAAGCAACCTCATCCAACACATCATCAGCCTCAAAAACCACATCCCTGAGCTTCTCAAGCCAACCCTTCACAGCACGGTCTCGCACCTGTCTCTCGTCTGCGTCCAGCAACACATCCTTGATCATGCGCAGTTTGTTCTGAAGCGTTTCAAGCTCCTCCTCCCAGCCGAGAGCAAGGCTGATTTGCTCAGTAGCAGCGGAAATCAAGTTGGAAATTGCGGAATCGATGATGGCACTCAGGAGGTCAGCGCATATTTGCGAACCCATAACTTGAAGAAAAGACACGGTTGGTGTTGGGACCTCTGTGGAACAAAGAAAGAAAGAGACGTTGGTTTCACATATAATGGATGAAGAGAAAGTATTATGTATAGATGAACAGTTATTGTTGAGAATCAATTTTTTAATATCAAGTTGCAGCATTTTGCTTTTATAATGGTGTTTGTGTTATCTCAATTAGTAAAACGATAATTTATTAATAGAAATAAAAGAGTAATAGTTTCATTCCTCAAAAAAAAAAAGAAAAAAAAAAAGAGTAATAGTTTAAGTTTACAAAAAGCTTCAGTTTTGAACCGAAGATATAAGAGAAAAGTTTTGTTAAGAGGTAGTAGTTGTCTATTGACGGAAAAGTAGATAGATAATTATTTTATTTTATTGTTATTTTTATTTATTTATTTTAATTAATTATC